AGTGATGTTGAGCACCTTTTCATGTGCCTGTTGGCCATCTGTATGTCGTCTTTGGAAAAATGTCTATTCAGGTTCTCTGCCCATTTTTTAATCAGAATGGGGTTTTTTGTTGTTGAGTTACATGAGTTCTTTATATATTTTGGATATTAGCCCCTTACTGGGTACATCATTTTGCAAATATCTTCTCAGTACATTGCCTTTTCACTTTGTTGACGGTTTCCTTTGCTGTCCAGCAATGTTCTAATAAGTCTTCCAGATGGTTCTGTAGCATGAAGTTTGAGAGCCATCAACCTAATACTCTACATGCTTTTCTGCCCAAATGCTTCCTCACAGAGGTGGGATACAGTGAATTAAATTTTAAGGAGGAAGAGCAAGATTTACATGGCCACAAGGCAGGAGTGACGTGGAAGATACATGAGGGAAGTCACCACCAAATTTAAACAAAAACTGCCTAACACTTTGGGTATCCAGCATTCATTCCCCAGCTACTAAACAGTCTGTCTATTTTTCAAACAACAGGCCTTTACATCCAATCTGTCCCCAAAGACCTCCAGAATGTAAGCATTCCCTAAGAACTCTCTATTTACTCTTCACATAGCACCCTTGATGATTTCATCCCCACCCCTCTCTCTGCCTTAACTATGACCTGAAGAGGGTGTTTTCCAATCCTATTTTTAATCCACTTTCCTGAGATAAAGCCCCAAATATCCAATAGCCTGTTCACATACTACCACTAGACTCCTACTTCATCCTTTCAACTTGTCATTCTTTCCTGACACACAAGGCCCTCCAGGATCAGAGGCCCTTTCCTTATGCTTCCTCTGACTAGAAAGCACTGCCCACCTTTAACAATTATTCATCTATTGAGCCTCAATTCAAAGATAGCCCATCTCCTTCCTGCTTCAGTAAACTTTTCCTGATCTTCTCCTTTTCCTTACCTTCTCTTGGGTAGCCTTAATCTCTCCCTTTTAGCACCCAACTAGACCTTTTATAGATGTATACTGTGGCACATTTAACAGCGGAGTCATAGCACATGAGCATTTAACTTACCTGCATTAAACATGTAAACTTAGCAAAACAACTCTGAAGGTTATCATACACTCCTCAGTTCATGTTAAGGAGCCATTATGCTTCTCCTAATGTGAACATTGCATTGTATCAGAACCTAGTGTTTAAACACACATACTTTGTGTACAGTTAGGGCAGTAATTTTGACCCCCAGGGGACTTTTGGCAACGTCTAGATACATTTTGGGTTGTCACAACTTAGGGGATGGGTGCTATCTAATGGGCAGAGGCCAAGGGTGTTACAGAACATTCTACAATGCACTGGACAGCCTCTACAACAAAGAATTATTCAGCCCAAAATGTCAATAGTGCTGAGGTTCCGAAACTCTGAGTTAGAATGATCTTTCTAAAGAATAAATTGGGTCATGTCATTGCCTCAGTTAAACTCCTCCAGTAGCTTCCCACTGGAACCAGAATAAAATCTGAACTCCTGGCCATGGTCTATTAGGCCCTATATAATCTGGCTCCTACGTACTCTCTTCCCTCTCATCCCTCTTCACTTTCTTTCTCAATTACTAAACTTTGATCAAAGTGGCCTTCAGTCCAAACAAACCAAGCTTGTGCCCAAACACACCAGAGATTCTCAGGATCTTTGCATTTATTGCTTCTACTTGGAATGTTCTGCACTATGTATATCATCTCAAATAACATCCGTCTTCTCAGAGAGGTAGGTATCCCATGAACACTGTGGCCTTGGTAGCTGCCACTGCTACCAATACTACCACCAGTTATACACACTCATTACCCTACTTAATTTTTGTATAGCATTTAAAAGCATCTGAAATTCTGTGTGTTTACTGTTTGTCTCTCCCACTAAAATGCAAGTTCCTTGAGAACAGGGATATCTCTACAGCCTAGTAATAAATGTTCAATGAATATTTGCTTGACTACAGCAGGGCCCCTAAAACCCAAGCTAATTATTTCATCAAACAGAGATTTGCTTCCAATACTGGACAAAAACTAACTCTGACAGACCACTTGAGAGGAGGGTATGCTGGAATCCAATACAGTGCTCTCCTAAGGGACTTTCAATTTGGTTTTGAAGATACATTTTCACTTCATTTGCTGACTTTAGAAAATACAACTCTATTATACTGCCCTTCCTTATGCAATCTTCTGTTAAGCTGTATACACTTTAAGGGCAGAAGCCATCTTAGAACCTTCAGCACTTAGCATGCAGCTAGGCATTTAGACTTTTATATACTCTCACCACTACTCTTAAGTTGGAAATTTTTGTGTCACTTGTTACTGTGTGGTTTCTGCCTTCTGATTAAACTCCAATAGACATACCACACTTCATCCATCACAATCAGTAACCAAACCCCACAGATTTTAATGTGTTCTATTTATAAAATGTCACTATCTACCTATTTCTCACAGCTAGAAGTTACCTTATCCTTAACATGCCCACTACTATCACCTTTGCCAACACCTACATTATCTCATCTGAACCATGACAATGGCATCCCACTGGTTCTTCCACTGTCAAATCATCTTAGACAGTAAAGCCAGTTCAATTTAAATTTGGTGGTGATTTTCCTCATGTATCTTCCATGTCACTCCTGCTTTCCGGCCATGTGTTTCTGTTACTGAGTAAAATTCAAAGTGTTACATAATAATAGCTACCATTTATTAAGTACGTATTATATACTAGGCATTGTGTTATTCATTTAATAAATATTCTCATTTTTGTATTATCTAAGATTAAAAACATTTTTGTTTCATAATGGCTTTGTAGAAATACAATTCATTCATGTAAAGTATATAATTCAATAGTTTTTAATATATTCACAGTTCTACCATCACAATTTTAGAACATTTATTATCACCCCCAAAATAAATCCTGTAACCTTTAGCCATCACCCCCAATGTCCTCATCCTACTCATCCCTATGCTGCCACTTATCTACTTTCTGTCTTCAAAGATTTTCCCATCTGAACATTTTATATAAATGTTCTCATACAGTATGACTGGCTTCTTTCACTTAACCTGAGCGTGGATGAACATGCTTCAAGGTTCATCCATGATGTAGCATGAATCAATAGTTCATACCTTTTATGGCCAAATATTTCATTACATGGATAAACCATGTTTTATCTATTCATAAGTTGATGAACATTTCGGTTGTTCTTACATTTCAGCTATTATGAATAATGCTGCTGTCAACATTTTTGTACATATGTTTTCATTTCTCATGGATACATACTGAGGAGAGAATTGCTGGATCGAATGGTAACTCAATGTTTAACTCCTTGAGGAACTGCCAGACTGTTTTCCAAAATGGCTGCATCATTTAACATCCCCACCAGCACTGTATGAGTGTTAATTTCTCTACATCTTCAGTTACCACTTGTTATTATCTTTTTCATCATCATCATCCTAGTGAGTGAAATGCTATTTCATTATGGTTTTGATGTTTATTTACTGATGACTAAACTTGTTGAGCATTTTTCATGTACTTATTGATCACTTGTGTATCTTCTTTGAGGAAACATCTATTCAGATCATTTGCCCATTTTTAAATTGGGTTATTTGTCCTTTTATTATTGAGTTGTTAGAGTTCCTTACATAATATTCTGGATACCCATCCCTTATCAGATACATGATTTATGAATTTTTCTCACATTCTTTTTGCTTCCTTAATGGTGTTCTTTGAAGGACAAAGTTTAAATTTTGATAAAGTCTTATTTTTTTATTTTGGATGCTTAAGCTTTTGGTGTAATATCTAAGAAACCATTGCTCCATCCAACATCATGAAGATTTACCCCTATATTTTCTTTTAAGATTTGTAAAATTTTATCTCTTTATGTCTTTGATCCATTTTGAGCTAATTTTTATTTGTTGAAAAGTCGATTCTTTTTCCATTTAATTGGTTAGCACCCCAAAAGCAACTGAGCATAATATAAGGATTTATTCTTTGAGTCTTAATTCTATTTCATTGATCTATATATCTATCCTATGCCAGTACCACATTGCCTTGATTACTATTGCTTTATAGTAAGTTTTGAAATTGGGATGTGAGTCCTTCAACTTGCAAACATTCTCATTTAACTCTTAATATTAATATGTACTAGGTACCTATTACTATTCTAGGTACTAGGCATTATCCCCATTTTACAGGTGCGTATATCAAGGACACTTAGAGAAGTTTAGCTTTCCCATGGGCACAAAATATTTGGTGGCTGTCCCAGGATTCATACTCAGATCTATATAAATCTAAAGCTGACCAGTTTATGGTCCTTCTATAATCTGGTTCCAATCTACTTTCCAGACTAAATATATACTAATCCCACAATGTACCCTAAAATATCTCTCACTTTTCTGCCTCTGAACTTCTGCTCCTGTTGCTCCTTCCATCTGAAATGCCCTGCCCTTCATCTGTTTCATAAAATTCTAATTCAGAATACCCTCAGTTAGCAAAGTGATCTCTTTTCACTCTATTTTCTTAGTACTGCAGGCCTCTCTCATGGTTCTTACTCCACATTACATATTGTAATAGACATCTATGTATATGTATTATTTCCCTTTCTAGGTTAAAACTAAAGACTGTGTCTCATTATTTTTTTTATCTCCCCAAAGCCCTAATACAGTACCCTTCACATGGCAGGTACTAATGTTTCAAATGAATAAATTAATTCTAACATTACCTCTACTAGAATGGACAATAAGAATGTATATATGTGTGTTAGGGGTGGGAGTGGAGGGTTGAGGTCATGGCAAGGCTAGAGGAATGAATGCCTAGGGAATATCCTAATCCTGAGAAGGTGGTAAGAGAAGAATGACATGAGACACGGTGTGGCAGAGAGCAAGCCCAGAAAGCTGATGTTAATCACTCCTTTGGCAAGAGAGAAACATCCAATCTTGAGGTGTTATGTGTAGACAAGTAGTTCTTGTCAGTGAAAAAGAAATAAAACAAGTGGCTTATGAAGCCCCAAATTGAGTTTATTGTGTATAGTCCAGGTGATAACAAAAAACTCCAGTATATTCAAGTAAAGTCTGATATACTCTGGAATATCTCTAATACAACATGAGGGAAAAAAGTGTTCTAGGGTCATTATTCCCCTAGAGAATATCTTGAAAAGGCCAAAAAATAGTGTGCCAATCCTCACAACCTCCACTATGTTCCCAACCAATTCTCTGACTTGCCCATTCTTGAAGCACTTTAACTCATTAACATTTTCCATTCTTTAGCCCATATTGCTGGATAACAAGTCTTTCAGAAAAATTGAGTGCCATTCTTTTGCTTAGTGCCATCTGACTCCAGTCAAAAGGTATAAGTTTCTTACAAAGGAAACGGTTCGGACCTCAAGGCTCTGGAAAAGCTGATACCACATGCCAAATCTAGAATTCTGTCTCTAGAAGCTACTTGTGGCCAACGTCTTAAAAATGAGTCAAATCATACAGGAGTTCCCATTCATCTTAGAATGTTTACCTGGACAAGTAAATGAGGTTTAGGATATACAGAGTTCTAAGTTGCCAACTGGGCACCATTTTCTAGACAAGCAGTCAGGATCTGGCTTAACTATTTAAACCCTACTATCTACTTTCTCTTCCAATTGCCTTCTGTCCACCTGGAAGGAACTTCCAAGAAACATGATATAGTAGGCATTGCAGTATACTGGCTGCTTGTTGGGGTTGGAATAGACCTGTTCAGGTTTGAGGGATGCGAAAGGGTTAGCTCCATAGGCAGTGATGTGTGTATCCAGGTCCACCAGAATCTGCAAAGTGGCTGTCAACTCCTGATGGCTATGGGAGACAGATAATAAAAATTGCTGTGCTGATTTAGGAGAGAAACTGACAGAACTTGACATTTCTGGACTAATCAATCCCAAAAATTACTTAAGGTTGGACTAAGCAGGGGCTATCACTCCATCCCAAATGTCTCACTATTACCTGATCAACTAGCATAGGACTTTGTTCCAAGGGGATTAGAAAGCCAAGTGTGGGTAGGAAGAAAATCCTCACCACAAAGTGGAAGAGATGAGCAAAGGGAGAGAAATGAGCTCATCTATATAAAGAGAGGTGTGTGAATCAGAGAGGTATCACAAATATGAAAAGGTCAAAACCTGTAAACAGTAATCAGTGTAGGGATTTCATAATCACGAAGTAGCAGGAGTGTGGGCAGCCAAGACTCCATCAAGTCTGGGGAAGCATGGAAACCTATGGAACAAAAATGGAAATGAGAATAGAGAGGGGAAGGGCTTAGGTAGACCCTAAGCAAGATACTTCTTTTATTGTGTCTACCTCATCCCCCACCCTGCTCACCCCCAATGCTCATTTACCACCATCACCCACCCCAGATTCTTTCATGGAAAATTTTGAACCCAGGTGTAGCACAATGTGGCTAGTGATCAACCAAGGTTGTCATCATATTGTGTTTCACCTGGCCAAATGAATGGGGTTCCAAAGAAGGAAGATACAAGAATCTAGATGGAAAATTCCCAGAGGATCCACCCAGTATTCCCCTGAGCCAACGACTCTTACCTGGATGGAACGCCACTACCAAATCTGGATGGGCTACCTGTCCAGTCTCTACTTGCTCCTCCCAGAAGTCATGATAGAGGCCCCTATGGCCACTAAGCTTAACCATGCCAGGTTCTAGAGGTGAAGTTGAGGTGTTCCGGGAAAAGCCAGCAGCTACGTCTATGCCCACCATGATCACACGGAGGCCAAGGTGTCCAGGAAACATGTAGCCAAGCTCATTATAGTCCCCAGGGCGAGTGAGGAAAGTCTCTACATGGGAAGCACCAACCACATGCACTGTGCTTCCCCCAATCTTCCCAACATCTATCCTCAAGGACCGAAGCCCAAGGCCCACTGTCAAGGGCCTTGAGAGGGCATCTGTCAGTAGCCGCCTCAAAGAGCCCTCCAGGATATCTGGGTCTGGTCTTGGCCATCCTACACTGGTCCACAGGGAGGTCATGGCATGACCACCTAGCACAGCATCCAGTGTAGCATCTAGCTGTAAATGCCGCATAGAAAACCACGTGTCCCAGGCCTGTACAACTTCAGCCATGCATGGCCAAGGTCCTGAGGGTAGGACAAAATCACCTGCAGGAAAGAAGGAATAAGAAGTGACCTAATCCTTCCATGGCTTCAATATTCCCTCCATGTTCACTCTTCCAACCTGAGATCAGGTATGCCCCATTCCCCCACCCCACCCAGGTCCTTATTTTTATTTCATAACGTATTTTCATACCTTTCTGCAAGTACAAACAACTATGACCATTATGACAGTTCCCCAACACCACCATCCACCTGTAACCAGAAGCCATTCCATGAGACGGTCCACAGCTACAAGACGCAGCTCTTGACAGACCCTCCTGTGTGCTGGCCAAGCTGACCTCTGGCACTCTGGACTGCAGTAATAGACATTTCTGCACCTGAGGGAATGAGCCCCAGAAATAGATGTTCCTAAACCTCAAAGGTGATTGTGGGATGTCAGAGGAAGGGTACTTGTATTCTTGTAGGTAGGAAGAAAGACCACTGGGTAAGGAAGGTAGGGATAGGAGTGACAGCTGATGTACCAAATTTAGGGACTACATTTAGCAGAGGTAGCAGGAGAGACTGGGAATGTAATTATTCTCTTGGGTCAGAGTGACACCTCAGTCTCTAGTAGATAGAACAACTCACTTTTTATATTCACTACAGAAAAATAAAATACCAGGAGTTTGCAGCTGCCTTCTTATCCCAGGTATGGCTAGATCCCAAACTTCCCAGAACAGCTATGATCTTACCCCTTGAATATTCAAGAGGGAGGTAGAGAGGATTGTACAGTAGTTCCCCTTATCTGTGGTAGATATGTTCCAAGACCCCCAGTGGATGCCTGAAACCAAAGATAGTACCAAACCCTATATATATATATACACACACACACACATGCAATGTTTTTATGTTTTTTCCTATACATACATACCTATGATAAAGTTTTATTTTAAATCAGGCACAGTAAGAAATTAACAACAAAAACTAATAATAAAATATAACAATTATGACAATATACTGTAATGAAAATTATGTGAATGTCGTTCTCTCAAAATATTGTACTGTACTCACTGTTCTTCTTGTGATGATATGAGATGATAAAATGCCTATGTGATGAGATAAAGTGAGGTAAATGCCACAGGCATTGTGACACAGCATTTAGGCTACTACTGACCTTTTATGTTTCTGAACTGCGGTTGACAACAGTTAACTGAAACTGTGGAAAGCAAAACCATAGATAAAAGGTACTAATGTACTGTTTTTGCTATCTGATCTCCTCATAACATCAAAAATAAGGAGCCCAACAATTTCTAATCTCTCTACAGCCTGGATCACACAGAATGAGGAGTGGGCCTTAAGTTATTCTGAAAATTCTCAGACCTTTCCTCCTGCAGTGAGGTCTCACAACAGGATCATTTCTTGATGTCTGCCTTATTAGCCCCCAGTTAGTCACCTCTTGCACTGCCGGAGGACCCTGGAGTCTGAAAGGCCACTAGGGAGTGCCCTACAGTGAGCACAGAATCGGAATGTGTCCTCCATCTTCTGGAACATTTCTTGAAGACATCGAAATCCAAAGCCTGGCACAGGAGATCCCCCATCCACCACCAACCTGCAGAGACAGCACGGAGAAGAAGTAGCACTAGGAAAAGGAATCTCTCCAAAATTCCTCATGATCCCCGCCTTGTCTCCTATATATTTCCACCTACTCCCACATCTCCTACTCCTATCATTTCTTACTTAAGCAAATTATATTTGCTTATATAGTAATATTGGCAAAAGTCAGTATGATAAAATCCCTCATTGCCAAGTACCTCCTACACCCCAAGTTATGCTCCCTCTCACCTTTGAAATCACTTCTACCAGAGACAACATATTACTCTTCCATAAAGCTAGTCACTCACTTGTATTCTTCATAGCTTTTCATATTCAGCTTTTGAAGGATTAGTTGGGATAGGCCAGGAACATTACTCTCCAAGGAGAGGAAGCCAAGTGCGTCAATGCTAGGGCCAGGTTCTGAGAGAGTCTTAGGCACAGGGGTCGCAACTGTGGGTGGGGTCACAACCACGGGAGTCACCAGTGAAGAGGGTTTCTTGTGCCTTCGTTTCCGGGACCGTGGAGCCATGGCCTGTCCACTGATACCTGGAGACTATACATAAAACAGATATGGAATGGAATTTTGCAATTTGGACATGTATGATGTGTTTTCATATGTTTGATCTTTCACTTCTCATTCCAGTCTTTCAGACCCAGGTATCCATCTGATTTATTTAGTATCTATTGATTATTAATTACTACAGGCTGTTGTAAAAAGTAGAGGGGAAATAATTATATGAATATAATTATACATATATGTATTACATATGAAGTTCTATATATAATATAAACATGTGTAAGTAAATGCAGAGAGGTCTGGCAGGACTCACAAATAAAGAGTAACTGTGAGAAGAGAAAGAGGCAGAGGCACTGGGATAGGAACTGGGCTGATCAAAGGGGACTTTATACTTATCTGTGATGTCTGACTTTTTTATACAAAGAATATATTCATATATTATTTGTCTATTTTAAGAGTCAACTTAGAAGAAAAGCCACAGAGGTTTTGGTTCTCCAAACGTACCACCTAATTGGAGAATTAGTCATTCTAATGTAGTTAGGGAAGTAAAACATTCTTTTTAAAAGACCTATCACCACATTTATAAGCAATAAGTATAAATTAAATGCAATACATAATGAGCACCACAAGGCTAAGAGTTATGCACTCACGCACATAATGCATATCATGAAGGAAGAGTTCTAAGTTTTGAAGCAGAACTAAGCCCACACCCACTCACTACTTAGCAGGAACTCTGTGATGTCCTCCTTCCCTGTCTTTTCCCATTCCTTGCACAAGTAAACAAAGGGACTCTATATTTATTTATTGAGAAAAATAAAAACATCCACTCATTCAATAAATATTTATTGATGAACACATACAGTCATTTGCAAAATACAACGGGAACAAATATGAAAAATATATTTAACATCTAAATGTCTTGTAGAGGGATTAAATATTAACTCTAAGGCAGTATGTAAGTCCTATAAGAAAAGTGAAACTAAAGCACTAATGGAGGATCAGAAGAAGGGAGTCTCTTCAGTTGGTGAGTTATACAAAGACTTCAATGAAGCAGGTAGCAGTAGGGATAGACCATGAAAGATGATAATAATTTGAATACATGGAGATAGGGAAAAAAGAATTCTAAGCATAGAGAAGAGCATGAGCATAGGAATATAAATGGGAACATTCTGGGAATTAGTGAAATAGAATAGAGACCAAAATGTAAGAGCTAAAACTATAAAGTCTTAGAAGAACACACAGCAGAAAAGCTTCATGATACTGGATTTGGCAGTTTCTTGTCTATGATACCAAAAGCACAGGCAACAAAAGAAAAAGAAAAATTGGATTACATAAAAAATTAAAGACTTTTGTGCATTAAAGGACAGAGTGAAATGGCAACCCATAGAATTGGAGAAAATATTTGCAAATCATGTATCTGGTAAGAGATTAATAACCTGATATGTGAAGAACTTCTAAAACTCAGTTAAACAAACAACCCAATTAAAAAATGGGCAAAGGACTTGAAAAGACATTTCTCCAGAGAAAATACACAAATTTCCAATAAGCACATGAAAAGATGCTCAACATTACTGGTCTTAGAAAAATGCAAATCAAAACCATGAGATATCACTTAGTACCTATTAGGATGGGTATTATAAGAAAAAAACAGAAAATAAGAGGTGTTGGCAAGGATGTGGGAAAATCGGAACCTTCATGCACTGATATTAAGAATGTAAAATGGTATAACCACTATGGGAAACAGCACAACAGCTCTACAAATAGTTAAACATAGACCCAGCACACAAAGACCCAGCAATTTCACTCTTAGGTACATATCCAAAATGATTGAAAACAGGTACTCAAACAAATGCTTATTCAAAATATTCATAGCAGCACTGTTCACAGTAGCAAAATGTAGAAACAACCCAAAGGTTCACCAAGAGATGAATTAATAAACAAAGTGGGATATATTATTCAGCCATAAAAAAGAAAAGTAGTACTGATATATAGCACAATGTGGATGAACCTCAACAACATTATGCAAAAGGTCACATGTTATATGATTCCACTTACATGAAATACTGAGAATAGGTAAATCCAGAGACAGAAAACAGATCTGTGGTTGCATGGGGAGTAACTACTTGATGGTTATGGGGTTTTCTTTTGGGGTGAAATTGTTTTGGAACTAGACAGAGGTGGCAGTTGCATACAACAATGCCAATGTACTAAATGCAATTTAATTGCTCATTTTAAAAGGATTAATTTTATGTTATCTGAATTTCACCTTAATTTAAAAAGGAAGGTATCCATAGAAGTTGAGAAGCTAAACATTTGTGACCCCCAGATGAACTCCCTCCAGGGAAAGGGATAAAGAGAGGATGAAAATGCTGACAGTGATTGATTTTACCATAAATAAACATGGATCATGTTTTGTTACAAAAATAGTCTGACATTTAATCTTTCAGAACCAAATCTGTTACGAAAAAAAGTCCAGAATCATCCTTTAGCTGAGCTGTAGGTGGCACAACAATAAACAAAAACCTCCCAGAATCATTCAGCTAATGTCTGTTACCTCTTGACATGGCTCTTGAAAACGCCTTCCTCAGGTTAATGGAGGAACTAATTTGTGTGAAATAATTTGGTACTTTCTTTCTCCTCATCCTTTCATTCCACCCCTTTAATCTCTCCCTTCATCCCATAGTTGAATGCATGATCTCAGAATCTACAGAACAGAGAGAACTAAACTCATTTGTGTACCTTTTCTTCTATTTTCCCACCAAAAAAGAAGAAATTAGGCCTAAAGAAAGTAGATTATTTTAGGATTAAGGGTCATATCCCTTTAAGAAAGGGTGCTTTCACACCATAGGACACCCATTTCCAATGACTGACCTGACTCTTCCCTCTACTTTTAATCACCACACATTGTTAGAATTGCTGAATTCTAGAGGCGTTTAACTGCTCTATTACCTAGCCTCCTTAGGCAAGATCACACTTTTTTTGGTATCATTAATATACACTTAGATTAACAACATTGTGGTTACCAGATTCCCCCCCTTATCAAGTCCCACCACATACCCCATTACAGTCACTGTCACTGTCGATCAGCATAGTAAGATGCTATAGAATCACTACTTGTCTTCTCTGCGTTATACTGCCTTGCCCGTGACCCCCACCTACATTATGTGTGCTAATCGTAATGCCCTTTGTCCCCTTATCCCTCCCTTCCAACCCATCCTCCCCAGTCCCTTTCCCTTTGGTAACTGTTAGTCCATTCTTGGGCTCTGTGAGTCTGCTGCTGTTTTATCCTTCAGTTTTTGCTTTGTTCTTATACTCCACAGATGAGTGAAATCATTTGATACTTGTCTTTCTCTGCCTGGCTTATTTCACTGAGCATAATACCCTCTAGCTCCATCCATGTTGTTGCAAATGGTAGGATTTGTTTTCTCCTTATGGCCGAATAATATTCCATTGTGTATATGTACCACATCTTCTTTATCCATTCATCTACTGATGGACACTTAGGTTGCTTCCATATCTTGGCTATTGTAAATAGCGCTGCAATAAACATAGGGGTGCATCTGTCTTTTCAAACTGGGCTGCTGCATTCTTAGGGTAAATGTCTAGGAGTGGAATTCCTGGGTCAAATGGTATTTCTATTTTGAGTTTTTTGAGAAACCTCCATCCATACTGCTTTCCACAAGGCTTGAACTAATTTACATTCCCACCAACAGTGTAGGAGGGTTCCCCTTTCTCCACATCCTCGCCAACATTTGTTGTTTGTCTTTTGGATGGTGGCCATCCTAACTAGTGTGAGGTGATATCTCATTGTGGTTTTAATTTACATTTTGTTGATGACTAGCAATGTGGAGCATCTTTTCATGTGCCTTTCGGCCATCTGAATTTCTTCTTTGGAGAAGTGTCTGTTCAAATCCTCTGTCCATTTTTTTTATTGGATTATTTGCTTTTTGTTTGTTGAGGTGCATGAGCTCTTTATATATTGTGGACATCAACCCCTTATTGGATATGTCATTTATGAATATATTCTCCCATATTGTAGGATGTCTTTTTATTCTACTGATGGCATCCTTTGCTGTACAGAAGCTTTTTAGTTTGATATAGTCCCACTTGTTCATTTTTTTTTTTTTGTTTCCCTTGCCCGGGGAGATGTGTTCATGAAGAAGTTGTTCATGTTTATATTCAAGAGAGTTTTGCCTATGTTTTCTTCTAAAAGTTTTATGGTTTCATGACTTAACATTCAGGTCTTTGATCCATTTCGTACTTTTGTGTATGGAGTTAGACAGTAATCCAGTTTCATTCTCTTACATGTAGCTGTCCAGTTTTGCCAACACCAGCTGTTGAAAAGGCTGTCATTTCCCCATTGTATATCCATGGCTCCTTTATCGCATATTAATTGACCATATATACTTCAGTTAATATCTGGACTCTCTATTCTGTTTCACTGGTGTGTGGGTCTGTACTTTTGACAGGACCAAATTGTCTTGATTACTGTGGCTTTGTAATAGAGCTTGAAGTCGGGAAGCGAGATCCCCACTGCTTTATTCTTCCTTCTCAGATTGCTTTGGCTATTTGGGGCCTTTGGTAGTTCTACATGAATTTTAGAACTATTTGTTCCTGTTTGTTGAAAAATGCTGTCAGTATTTTGATTGGTATTGCATTGAATCTATGTAGATTGCTTTAGACAGGATGACCATTTTGACAATATTAATTCTTCCTACCCAGGAGCATGGGATGAATTTCCATTTGTTAGTGTCCTCTTTAATTTGTTTTAAGAGTGTCTTCTAGTTTTCAGGATATACGTCTTTCACTTTCTCGGTTAGGTTTATTCCTAGGTATTTTATTCTTTTTGATACAATTGTGAATGGAATTGTTTTCTTGATTTCTCTTTCTGCTAGTTCATCATTAGTGTATAGGAATGCAACAGATTTCTGTGTATTAATTTTGTATCCTCCAACTTTGCTGAATTCAGATAGTAGTTCTAATAGTTTTGGAGTGGATTCTTTAGAGTCTATTATGTACAATATCATGCCACCTGC